AAAACAAATCCCTTCCCTTTCCAAACCCCGTCACCTTGCGAAGTGCTCACAGTGCTCTCCTCCGTATTAGCAGCCTTGAATAAAACACTCGTACTCGTTCTCAAGGTCGTCGGAATCAGCCTTGCCTGAGGTTTGCTGAAGGGAGGTCTAAGAAGAGTGCTAAGAGGAGTGCTAATGCTAATCAAAAAGCTCGCTAGAGCTCGCGTAAGCTCTGCTTGCTTTAGCGGGAGGTCGTAAGCTTTCAGTTGCAAACGCAATTGCTTAGCGAATATTAGCAATTGCGGCGGTAGAAGTAGAAGCAGGGTTCATTCGCGCAATAGTCGTCTCTAGCACGTTTTTATAAGCTGAATACAGCTTGTCGGCGAGACTCTTATCGTCCCTTAGACCTGGTCGAAGAGCCTTTTGCACTACTCTTAGCTCCTTTTCGAGCTTTTCAAAGCATTCAGCTAACGAATTAGCTGGATTCTCCTTTCGAATTAATTCTAGTGAGATTACTTCCTAACGGTCGTAATTAGCTTGCCGCCGTTAGTCAGTCTCAAAATAGTCCTTCACTGCAATAGCGTTTGCTTTAAAAGTAAGTAGCTAAGCTTTGATCACGTAGTTGTAATAAAACCCAATTGCTTCTTCGGCGAGCATAATCGGGAAAGCAGCCAAGTAATCGTCAGTTGTTAACTCGTATCAGCACGCGTGATCGGTAAAAATCCTGAGTCGAGTATTAAAATCGTTTTTCGGCCTTGAATACTTTAGCTCTTTTAGAAAACTCTTTGCAAATAAAGCTAACTCCTTCGCTTTTAGATGAAGGTTTGCCGTTCCGAGCTCAAGAAAATCGTCGTCGTCGTCAAAGTCGCTTAAGGTGCCGTGTGTATGCCTAGCTATTACTCTGTTCGAAAAAAGGGTGCTGATAAAGGGTCGGTTTAGCCCAGGTCCGCCGAGAGGTTCGTATCCTCGTCCAGGGTCCCTTAGCGGCTCATTTCCTTGTTCCCTTGTCGGGCCACCGTGTCCTCCTCCTTTTCCTCCGTGCCTATTCCACTCGCTTCCCCTTCTATTCCCTCCTTCTGGATCACCGTCCGAGCTATCTAGATCGCTAAGGTCGCTAGCAAAGGCTTGCTCCCTTTTCTATTCGTATCCTTGAGCTCGGCCTTAGCGGTATCCATCGCCCTGGTCTTGCTGCTTTTCAGCGCATTCTTTAAGTGACAAAATCGCTAGCTGAAATAATAAAAGGACGGGAGAAGGAAGTGAATCGCGAGAACTGCGAGAACTGCGCCTTGATGATTGCTTTGCTGCCTTAGCTGCCTCGAGCTCCTCCTTATGCCTTGTAGCCTCCTCGATTCTCTTTTTACGCTGTTGCACGTCCCTCGTAATTGTCAAATTGCGTAGATCATCGAGGTCTCGCGCAATAGCGTCTTTTTGGCGTCGGAGCTCCTCGTACTCTTTTCGGAGTGATTGGCGAAGCGAATTTAAAGTTGGAGGTAGAGGTGAATTCGAAAGTAAAGGCTCGTCGATGATTTTGATAAGACGAATAAGACCTGACTGATTAAGAAACCTTTCGACTTGCTTCCTTTGAATTTTAGCGACTTCCTCAGTTTGTCGATTTAAGCGAGCGATTGTAATATCGTTCCACTTAGAATCAAACCCCTCGATTGCTGCTTGTTGAGCTCGCTGCTCCTCCCAGGTCCATTGATGCTCCTTTTCCATTTGTATAATTGAGGCTAGTCCATTGGCGTAGCCTTTTTGCCTTAGAAGGCACTAAACTCCCTTAGATAATAAGTAATCTCTTAGCTTAATAAGCAACGTAAACTTGCTTCCTCGGCCGTGTGCTTGTTTAGCTGCTAACGAGAACTCGTCCGCGGTCCATTTAGCAAACGCGTGTCGGAATAAAGACCAAAGCTCGTAGTCTCTTAATCCTTTACTCTTTATGTCCAAGAAGTCTTCGATAATTAATCTAGCCTTTGTATGACTTTCCGGCTTCGAATACGGTAGTGAATCGAGGTCAAAACCGAGGTCCGACGCGTCTTCGTCTAAGGCTTCGAGGGTATTCCGAGTGCTTAAGTCGTTCGGTAGCATTGAGGGAGGTTCCGCGGGTTTCGAAAAAGGGTCCGCCGGTGCCGGTGTCCTTGTTGTTTGAGCTCTTGCTGACGTTCCAGAAGCTCCTTGTCTGCCTCGGGGGTCGATTGATTGCATATTGCCGGGCGTCGAGGCGTAGTATTGTATGCTGTGTGTAGCTGGCGTGGCTCTACAGCGTTGATGATATTGTTGTATTGCTGTGTGTAGCTAGCGTGGCTCTACAGCGTTGATAAGTTGTATATAAGTGACTTGGTTCGGAATCACTCTCCCGTAGTAAATGAGGTATTCGAGGTGTAAGAAAGCGACTTGGTACGGAATCGCTCTTCCGTGGAAAGGTGTAAAGGTATCGAAGTGTAAGAAAGCGACTTGGTTCGGAATCGCTCTTCCGTAGAAAGGTAAGGTATCGGTATTTGAGTAGTGATTTTCACTGCGGTTGCAGGCTTCTTATAGCGCAAACTCACCACTTCTACACTCTTCGAGTAAGTAGAAGTAAAGTCCCAACTCTTCGATCGATCCTAGCTTCTTTGTGATTGAGTAATAGGCGATTAAACAATCACAGATCAGTGTTGGATCGCCGGTAGCGATCTCTCGTAATCTTCGTAAAATTCGTGACGTCGTTAAAGTATTTGCAATTGCAAAACACTCGGTGGTAAAATACTCAATTGTTGCTTGTTGTTCTAGTTTTAAGAGAGCTGACTCCTTCTATATAATAAGAAGGAGTCACGTATACTAGCTAAATACTAGGTTTACAAGCAGGTTAGGGGGCCCCTTGACCTGTAACAGGCTAAGCGAGGCATGCCTAGTGGCCCGTGAACCTTGGTTCACGAGTGAGCTCCCCCCAACTACTATTTACTAGCTAAGGTCGATATAAATAAACCGACAGTTATCTTAGATAACTTACGGAACGTGCTAGTCTAAGAGAAAAAGGAAATACTAGTAGTAAGGATGTTTAAATACGTATGAATGCTATTGAGTAAAGAGCACGCTGCTACTTACTATAGCATCGAAAGCGAGACCGTCTATTGCTACTTTACGGAAAAGCAATTAAAGACCATTCATAAGCGTTTTGGCTATTCTTTAGCAAGTCGATTTGCTGCTGTTTTTAAGAGGGTCGGGCACGAATTTAAGCGGGATTTGCTTTATAATATCTAAAAGTTTTGCTATTACTATTAAGTATTCGGACGCTCTTCGGAAAGGTTTAGTATCAGACTTAAAGATAATATTGATTTTAATGATACGATATACGTAAACGTAATGCACTTTAACGGCAAGAACGTATTGCATATCGTTTGCGATTCTATTAATTTTTAAGCCGCTACTTTCTTTAAAAGCATATCCGCATAGCACTTACTTAAAAGATTTAGTTGATATTAAGTTAATACTTACGTCGGACCTTTTACAAACGTCGTGCACGATCCCGGAACCAATTTCAATTCGGCAACGTTCCGAAGCTACTTTAAAAGTATTAGCAGCACTTTAAAGCAGATGCTTATAAAAGCTTATTATAACGTCGGGTTAATAGAACGCTACTACGTTCTTGTGCGACGCGCTTTTAAGATCGTCACAAAAGAGCTTTTAAAAGCTTTAAGAAAGGACCGGCTTCAAATAGCTATTAAAGCTATCAACGATATAGCTGGACTTAATAGCTTGGTTCTTATACTTTTCGTTTTTAAGACTTTATCGAAGCTGACGGAGCAAAATCGACTTGCCGCGTCTACTTAAGAGCGTGCTGCTGCTATCAATAAGGCTATAAAAGAAGTACGAAAATGCTACGCAGCGAAGCAAGTTAAGGACGCGCTTAAGAAGAAGAATAAGCTAGTTACGAAGCATACTTTAGACCTTTTTATTAGCTTACAAGTATTCGTATAGCGAGAGAATCAAGAGTGAAAAGGCCTTTTTCAGTTGCTTAGCAAGCAAAGGCACACGTGCATAGTGGCTTGTCCGAGGCTTATAGAATTCAGATTAACCTTAATGAAACCTTACTACTTTAAAGTTGAAAAGCTGCTAAAGGAGTTGCAAGTACTTAAAGTAGAAGTGGAAGAAGAAGTAGAAGAAGATCAAAGCGAAAGCGAAAAAGAGCTAGAAATACGAAATTCGCTTAAACCTTAATATTCGCTTAATCTACCGAGGTCGCTTAATCCAAGAAGCTCGCTAAGATCAGCAAACAGCCCTTCAAACCCTTAACTTGTCAATTCTTAGAAGTCAATAATGTAGAAGCACCCAAAAAGATGTGCCGTATAGAAGCCTGGCTCTGAGGCTAGACCTTATGGTTTCACAAGGAAGTGTCAGAAAAGGTAAGTGGAAAGCTCGTTGATTGTTCTAGCTAAGAGATATGTGCCCTCTTATAGAAGATGGGTCCGTTTAGTATAGCCTTAGTGGCTATAGCAGGTACCTTATCAAGTAAGGTATTTATATCCGTCCTTTTATATAATAGGTAGGCGCCTCCGCCTACTATTAAGCAAGAGAAAAAAAAAGGGGGTGTAGAAGAAAGAGAAAAATCTAGTATATAATAGAGGGGTATCTTGTCTCTAAACTTTAAACATTTAAACTACGCTTTAGCAGCTTCTTTATGATCTCCTTTCGTGCTTACGTCTTTAACTCTTTTATTCTTTTTAAGCTAAGAAGGTCTTCGTCTTTTAGCTAAGCTAGCATTAGATGATGACGTGCTAGCAGCAGTATCTTTAAGAGTGAAAGAGCGCGTGTTGTTCTTGCGTTTGTTAATAGCATCGTTGATAAGTGTAAACTTAGCCGACGGAAGGTTAGCGAGGCTAGAATAAGGTTTAGAGCTATTAGTTAGGTCGTCTTCGTTTTTAAGCAAGTCAGCTAAAGCTTTTATAGCTTTATCGAATGCGCGGTTTAAGGATTTCGGCTAAGAAGATAATGCCTTAAGATCGTCGATTTAGCTCGTAAACCGTAGTTTACGAGTGGATTTCGCACTTTCTAAAGTGATCTTTACACTTAAATTAGAATCGTTAAAAGATAACTTAATCGGTCGCAAGCTCTTTTTAAAATCCTTTAACTTATCGGCGTTTATAAGGTCGTTAGCTCGGCGGCTCTTGCCTTTAAAAAAAGACTTAGCTTCGTAAGTCTTAGCTTCCGCATTTAGCATAATAGCAAATCTTTTTTTAAATGCCGAAAACAACTTTTTTTTATGCTTAATAAAGTGTTTTTAAAATTGGGTCCGGGATATAGCAAAGATAGCGGTCAATTTCTCTATTACTCGAAGTTCGTTTTAGTTTATTCTTTCGATTAAGGCTTCTGATACGAAACTAACGTAGTTTAGCTAGATTATAGCGGCGAAAGGTTAGCTTGATTTATTAATGACTCTTTATCGAAAGGTTAGCGGCATGCGTTTTAAAACGATAATGTAAGCGTGCTTTGCAAAGCTGATTTTATTTTTTAAAGTGCTATCGTTTAGCAAAGCGGTATAATTGTTAAAGAAAATAGCTTATCCGTAAAAAGAATTTTAAAAAGCGTTTATATTTAAGAAAACACTTTGTTTCGTGATAACGGATATAAAGATAACGAGATCTATGATTATAGCGAAAGGTTAACGTAGCGCAATGTTTTTAAAAGCATTTAAGGTCTTCGACTTAAGTTTAAAAGCTTTTTATCTAGCGGTTTTTCTAAGGGTAATGTCGTAAGTGTAGCTTTTAAGCCAAATACTTAAGCTTTCGATCTGATTCTTTACGCCGTAAAGCATTAAATAATAGTTTAAAACTTTATCTTTTACTCGTAAATTACGGTTTACGAATCGTTTAGTATCAGCGTCGTGTTTAGTCGCAATCACTCGAGCATTATTATTGCATTTAAAAAGCTAAAAAGGTTCCGGGTAAGCGATGAGCTTATAGTTTCCGTTTCGACGATTAAGCAAAGCGGCAAGGTATAGCTTATAATAGCTTCGGAAGACTTGCTAAGTTAAGGAATGCATTATATTAAAGAGTGCACTAATCAAGGTTCTTTTTAAGTTATTAGTCCGAAAATGATGCAAGTATATCTAGATCTTTTTGTTTATAATAGTAAAGAAGGTTTGATTGCCGTGCTTGTTGTTTAAAAAAGAAGCTTTTAATATAAGCTAAACTTTCGTATAGCTACTCGCATTTATAGTATTAAAAGGGCTGTTCTTTTAAGCGGTGCTTATTAAGCTAATGCTTTAGTTCAGCTTATTAAAAGACATCGGCTTAGCTTTAAACTTAAAAGAACTTAAGCTAGATATTCTTTTAATTAAAGTACTGCTTTTAGTTTTAATAGCGAATATCGATTGATTGCTCGAGTAAAGCATAAAGTTATTAAGAGCGTTAGTTTAAAAGGCTTCGATAAATCGATATAAGTTGGAACGGATCACCGTTATTATAAAGCCTTTCGTAACTAGCTTAAAGTATTTAGCGTATTCGAAAGTATAGATTTCGCAAAAGACTTTTTTTAATAAGTCGATAGCGGACGATAAAACTTTGCGATTGAAGCGGAGCTTCGTTTAAACGTCTAAGTCAAAGAGTTCTTTGAATCTATCTTTAAATTCTAATACGTTCTTTACTTTTTAAGAGACTTTTGTGCAATCGTAATCGTCGTTATTAAAGCTTAAATTAAAGATCTCGGATAGCAAGAAGTAGTTTACTACTTTGCTTTTTTCTTTATTTACTTTTACTTAGCTACGACGGTTAAAGAATCGTAAGATCGCGTTATTAGAAAATTCGTCTTTTAAAAGCTTGCGAATCTAGCTGATAGCTTTCTAAGTTAATTCCGCGGCAATTTAAAAGGTATTATCGATATTTTCGTTTAAATTTAAGCGGTCGAAAGCTGATTAATAAAAGTCTTAGCAAAAGTTAATAAAAGCTACGTTTATACTTATAAGGTCTTTAATTTCGACGAGTCTTAAGCAGCGATTCGATACGGCTTTAGCTAGCTTATACTCAAAGCTATTTCTTTTTTTAACAAGTAATGCTAATAGCAGCTGGTTTTCGAAAAGGTCGCGTTGCATTTCGAATGCAAAAGCTAGAAAAGAGCTTACGTCGATAGACTTGCGTAAAGTAGATATGATCGAAGCAATTAATTTAACGTTCGAAAGCTTATTAGCAAAAGATAATATCGGTCTTTAAGACAAAGCTAATGATAGTAAAAAGCGCGCAATAAGTGATCTAAGCAAAAGGGTTCTAAGAGCAAAAGGTTGACTTAATCTCGCTTTAATTACTAAGTTATTCATTACTCGTAAATTATAATTTACGAATAAAGTTTCGGATCCGAGCTTTTTTTATAAAACGAAATTCTAAGTCTGATTTTCGTCGGTAAACTTTATACGTTCTTTAAGCTCGTCATATTCGCTTTTAATATTGTCGGAGGTCAAAATCAATAAGCTATATAATAAGACTTTTAGTTTTAGCTTTTTTAAGAATCTTTCGTTAAGAATAGCGATCTTATCTTTTTATTTAATATTATTTTTATTTTTTACGGTCTAACAAGTAAAGTTGACTACCGTAGCATTAAGCTTAGTGAACTTGCGTCTTCGGGCTATATTAGCTATAGTCTTTTAAAAAGCGACGTAAGTAATAATATAATAATTAATAACTTAAATAGCGTAAGCGTTAAAAATGCAAGTCTTTAGAATAACGTTTAATTAACGAGCGCTACGGATTAAAGTGCATATAGCTTTAAAGTGGTCGTTATATAGCAGTTGGCTTCAAGCGCCGTCGAAAGCTCTTTTGATTCGTTTATATCTTTCGGCGTTTTTATTACGTAAAGAGTAGATAGCGGTAACTCTGGTAATAAACTAGTCGTAAGCCGAAAAGAAGTTTTCGGCGTTTATATTCTTTTTTACGCATTCGGTTCGTAAGAATTAGTCGTATTGCAAGATCAGGTTATCTTCTTTACTTAATCTATTATTAAGATCGAAAGTTGTTACTTTAAGCATAGCTAATTGATTGAAGTTGCTTATTTAACGGTAAGTCTAAAGGAACTTATCGAAAGTCTTAATAACTCGTTTTTCGAACTTTAGCTCGAAACTCGATTGTCGGGCTAAAGCGGCTTGCTCTTCGCTTATTAATAAGCTAAAAAGTATATTACGGACAAAAGCTTTTTTTTTAACGGCGGCTAACTTAAGAAGCATATTTGACTCGTGAATTACGGTTTACGAGCTAAACATAAGATAGCGAAATAAAAAGTAATAATAGTAATGATTGATTAAGTAATGATTAAAGTCGTTAATATTAATATGGTTTTATATAATTATGAAAAGGAAGTGGTAATAATATTGTTATAATTGTTGTTGTATAAAAAGAGAAAATGTTAAG